TTAACCATATTCCCAAAATAAAATTGTGTGTGTTCTGATATTTTTTTGTTTAAAAACAACCATATTGAAGTGAGAAACCATATTCCCAAAATAAAAATGTGTGTTTTCTGATATTTTTTTGTTTAAAAACAACCATGTCGAAGTGAAAAACCATGTATGTTTTCTGATATTTTTTTTGTTTAAAAACAACCATATTGAAGTGAGAAACCATATTCCCAAAATAAAAATGTGTGTTTTCTGATATTTTTTTTGTTTAAAAACAACCATATTGAAGTGAGAAACCATTAAGCTTGAATTAAAAAAACAATAATTCAAAACAAAAAACGCATATTCAAAAACAAAACAAACCATATTAACCATATCTCAAACCAAAAAAAATATTTTCTGATACTTTTTTTTGTTTAAAAACAACCATATTGAAGTTTTAAACCAACAAGCTTGAATTGAAAAAACAATATTCAAAACATTTTTTTGTTCAAAACCCACCATCTTGAAGTGAGAAACCAACAAACTTGAATTGAAAAAACAATATTCAAAACATTTTTTTTGTTCAAAACCCACCATCTTGAAGTGAGAAACCAACAAACTTGAATTGAAAAAACAATATTCAAAACATTTTTTTGGTTCAAAACCCACCATCTTGAAGTGAGAAACCAACACACTTGAATTGAAAAACAATATTCAAAAGCAAAACAAACCATAATCGAAAACAAAAAAATAACATATTCAAAAACAAAACAAACCATATTTATAATATTCTAACAAATAAAAACATGGTATTTTCTGTTTTTTAGTTTAAACACAACCATATTGAAGTGAGAAACTAACAAACTTGAATTGAAAAAACAACACTCAAAACAAAACAAACCATGTTCGAAAACAAAACAAACCATATTCAAAAAAGAAAAACATGTTCTTTTCTGATTTTTTGTTTAAAAACCACCATCTTGAAGTGGGAAACCAACAAACTTGAATTGAAAAAACACTATTCAAAACAAAACAAACCATATTCGAAAACAAAACAAACTATGTTCGAAAAAAAACACAACATATTCAAAAACAAAACGAACCATATTAATCATATTCAAAAAACAAAAATCAGTTTGAAAAACAACATTTTGAAGAGAAACCAGCAAACCTGAAATGGCTTGATAAATACATTTCAAAAACCAAACAGTGTGATTTATGGCAACCAACTTTTGCTTTGACAACCCTTGATTTTTATGGTAACCAATGGCAACCATTGACCATCATATTTTTTCATTTTATTTTATGGAAAACTGAATGCGAGAGACCATCTTCAAAACCAAACGGTTTGCTTTCTGATAACCTTGTTGTTTTTTAATGGCAACCAATTTGAAGTGATAAACCAACTAACTTGGAGTGATAAACCAACCAACTTGAAGTGAGAAACCAACCAACTTGAAGTCAAGAATGCAGTGTCCAAAACCAACCTGTATGTTTTATGGTAACTAAGATTAAGATTATTTCGAAGTGAGTTCAGTGAAATTACAAAAACATACAGAAGCCATGTTTGTGTTTGTGTTTGGGTAATTTCAGTGTCTCCAGTCTCCATTTCACATCCAATGAACCATGTGGTGGATGGTTTTTTAGGTGTTTTACAAACTCTGTTGTTCTGGAAATGTTTTGGTTTGAACCATACAAGTTTATACGAATACAAGGTTTTGAAAATGACGGATGTGACAAAAGCAATTTAGCACCATGTTAATATTACACATTTTTGCAGACTCAACATGCTGGTAAAGACCAGTGCGGGTTCACTGAGGTTGAGGCTGTCTTTTTTCAACCGCTGGCGAAACTGGTTGTCGAATTGTCGAATCAGTCGAATTATTGAAACATCGGTTTGCATTTTGCCTACTGGTGCCTCCATCAAACAAAGTGGTTAAACAGATGTGATGTGATGTGCATAGAATTTGGACTGAGCTCGTTTGTTGCTGGATATATCGCAATGGATGGATGGGACGAAGGCATGAAGCAAACCACCATTGAATTCGTTTTTTTTAATTAGTCCAGTCCATACCATACAGAGGACATACAGTCCATACAGTCCATACAGTCCATACAGTCCATACAGTCCATACAGTCCATACATACCAGTGCATGGACCTGCTCATCCGGGGCATCCACCGATCCACAGCACATGGCAAGCTGCCAAATGGTAGCATGCCGCCAGATAATGATAATAGACAACTTAACCTAACAACCACGCACAAAGAAACAAACAGCACAAATTAGGAAAGTTTATTAGGACTTGATTGTTTGAATATGAATGTATGACACAGGATCTGGTCTGGTTTGATGCTTTGGGGGCAGGAAGTATTTTATCAATTTAAGAGCAAATACCTTAGCAGTTTCATCCATCAGTCAACTTAACACTCAACACTTGAGAAGGCAACAACCTCGGTTGCTCGGTGCGCAATGATGTCGAAACCGAATCAACCTTTTTTTTTGTCGTCGCAACTTCGGCGGCTGCTGCAGACTGCATGGATGTGCAGTGAGACACTGGCTTGTGATGTGGATCAGCATCTTGTCATGCAAGATCAAAAACATATGTAAGCGCACAAACCATGTAACCATGACTCGCCACCAAGTATGCGATGTGCGATGTCAATAATGTCAATCACAAATGGCACGGATAACGTATGATCCTGTAGGCTTTTTCATTGCATTCATTTCAAGAAATATAAAATTAGAGTTCCTAGAGTTGTAAAATGCTTGAACATCTAGATCACATATATTGTACAGTGCGGCAGCGCAATTCAATCCAGATATGGTTATATTTCTTAATTTCTTAGAGGGGAACGGCCATGAGTTTAAGCGTAGCTGACTGATGAGTAGTTGATGAGTTGATTGTTGTGATGGTGAGTCATGGTGGCGATGGTGGCGGTGGTGGTGAGGGTGGGGTACGCACAGGGAATTGAGTATGCATTATGGTGTGTCAATGTTCAACCATATATGTCGTATATGTTGCATCTGTATCTAAGGCATGGTAATCAACGGTGGGACACTGGATGCGATGCCAAATGGTCTGTGACACATAGCCACTGGTAGCCTGTGGTAGTTCCTCAAGTTTTTCTTTAATCGAATCATCAATCATTCTTAATGTTTTTGATTGCTCTATTGCCTCAGCTTCGGCATCATGAATTTGCGAGCTAGTATTAAAAGAAATGCTTTAATAGTCTCAACAACAGGATTTGTTCTTCGGGTGCGTGCCTGCGTGCCAAAACATCCCAGGCTTCATTCTTTGGAGAAAGCCTTGCCAAGAGGCTGCAAAGTGGCACGAAACATTCGCGAGACGGATATGGCATCTCAGCTGAATTCAGCGTGCGCTCACTCCACGTGCTGCTGATTGCTGCTGCCTTCCATGTTGGTGTCACATCGTTCTTAGTTCTCAGGGTCCCAGGGCATCCCAGGGCTCAATTTTCAATCACGGTATGACGTTCTGACAATTGATTTTTGTTTTGGTCATATGGTCATATGTCATACATGATATGATATATGTATGTATACTGTCAGACAGCCTGTCAGACTGTCAGCAATATATTTTGTTTCATATCAATTCAGATTTCTTGTCATGAATATTATATATATACGGTTAGTTTCAGGATCATAATGCTTCTTAATACATATTATATACAAAAGGGCTTGCACAAGAACATTACGCTGCGCGGTCAGCAGCGCCAAGCCAAACTATTACATTCTGGTATGTTTATTCATAGACCACCGTTGCTTGCCCATCCAAGGTAGTTAACGCAGAGATCAACACTAGAATGGTGAATCTTCGTTCCATCCCGAGCATTTTGCTTAGAGCTGGAGTGGTTGATTCCCAGAGCCTTGCGAATTGGGAAATGCAGATCGATGATGAGATCATCCGGAGACGAAGCACAAGCATAGGTGCTTGCAGTTCAAACACAAGGAAACGATCACATGGTGATGTATTTGATGGCAACAGCGCTGACATGTCATCAGACATCATGTCATCCAACAAGTCAGCCAATGATCCCGATGCTGCCACGCCTCATCATCAGCAGCGGCTCCAAGACTCGCAGTTTGATGCGCCTGATATGTCGGAATCCAAGTCGGAATCCTTCATGAGTTTGGGTTCATTTGATGATGTGGCAGATGATCATGGTGCTCACACTAGCACTGCTTCAAGAATAGGTATCGTATGGCCAACGGAATCTACAGGGGCGATTGTGCCAGCACAACCAAAACTTGATTTTGCAAATTTGCACAAACTGGAACCCGAACAACACCGCGCTTTGCTCGAGTCACTGGACAAGCCAGACTTGGTAGCTTACTCAATGCGACAACATTCGATGGTAGCCAATCATGCGCAGACCATTCAATCACTACGACGTGAGTTGAAAACTGAGAAACAACGCACACGACGAGCTGTTCATTCATTGAATGCGCACAAAGAAAAAATACTAACCCTCAAAAATCCTGAAATCACTGATCTGCAAGTTTTCAGGGGAAAGGCGAAGAAACTGTCCTGGAGGGGATCTATATCACTGGGCCTACGGAAGAGTATAGCCTTTGTGTCGGCATCATCGTTTCCGATGTCATCTCTTTTAGATATTGGCAGGCAAACAGTGACCAGATGTGAAGTCCTCGTTGGTGCATACATCATGATGAGAAGTGTGTTTTTCCACAGGGTCTTGCTCCTAATTCTGAAACGACTTGCCTCCGTACAGTCTGGCGAGCACCATCCCGAGTTTCAGCAAGCTCAGCCGGCAGAAAACCTCGGAACTGACATCGTTTTGCATGGCAGGTCAGGTCTGAGTTCAATAGATGTGGCATCTCACAATGATGCTATATGCAAGGACTTCGGATTGCCATTGGTAGATGCACCAATATCAACAAGTGCGCCGATGTTGGCTTCAGGTGATTCAACTGATTTTTGCATTGGGTGTACATTCTTCAGTGGAGACGCAACCAACTCTGCAATCTGGAGGCGTCAAAAATTACAGGGATTGATGGTGACATCAGGTGTGATGCTGGACTGGGATGCATTGTGCCAAACAAACTACCGAAAAGCTTTCCGATCTTTGTCTTGGGTGTCCTTCGGCCCTTTTTGCTGTACAATATTTTTCCCCGGACTTGACTTGATGAATTGTTTCACCATTGGACCATTGAAAACTACGAATCAAATTTAAGGCTTAGGGCCTCTTGATTGAATTATGTTTTTATATCTGTATATACAAAAATTATGTATTATATTCAGTATATCTATACATAATCAATATATACACATAATATCATTGTATTTATATATAAGACTAAGATGTTTTTGGGACTCATATGGCCGGTATGGCCAGTTACTGACAGGACCATTCGTCGCTTAGTGCCTTAGTGCTTGGCAGTGCTTGGCAGACAACTGAGAACTTGTTGATTTTCAAAAGGTTTGTCTATGATGAAGATTTGTTTTGGTTCGATATTGGTGACGGTGACCAGCGACAAGTAGAGGGTTTTCGTTTTTGTTAAGCTGGTGCCCACAGTGACAACTGTGGTAGCGGTTGTGCACCACACCACACACCCAGGTCTGACCTACAAGTATGTGCACACGGCACCGGTGGTGGCAACATGGCAATTATTTTGAAACAGCTCAAACGATTGGGCATTCGATCCTGGAATGAGTTGGCTGAGTTGAAACAGTGCCTTGCCTGTTAAAGTTAAACACCAAACAAGGACGGCTGATAAAGGCTCCAAAATAGAAATGAATTAGCTCACCAATCACCAACCACTCTACTCTACCACTAGCCATGTGACAAGTGGAATGAGTCGACTCTCATGTGGCAGTGTGACATAGACTGGATTCCGGGACTGTGGGGAACAGGATAGCAGGTAATCATTTGCAAATTCAATTTTCTCTTCTATATGCAACAACTACTTTAACAACTTGTTCAACGGGCATGCCTGAGATAGATAGATAGATAGATAGATCGATCGATAGATAGATAGATAGATAGATAGATAGACGATAGATAGATAGATAGATAGATAGATAGATAAGTAGATAGATAGATAGATAGACAGATACACAGACTGACAGGCAGAGAGACAAACAGACAGATAGAAAGATAGACAGATAGACAGAGAGACAGGGAGATAGACAGATACTAATAGACATATGTATATATATAGTCTTTTTTGAGCACCAAATCTCTTCATGATGGGGCCATGTCTCATGTCATAGGGCTCACAAAAAAAAGTAACAAAGGCAAACAACTGACGAAACTTCAGGCCAAGACTACTCATAAGTTTTGATGCCATGATGTCAGCGTCAAGTTCAAGGTTTTGACTTGGTTGGTTGGGTTGGGTTGGAGGGAAAACGTCAGGCATGGGCAAGGGAACAATGGTAATGGAAACGATGAACAATGCTGGTTTATAGTTTATGGGTTCCAAGCCTGAACCAACTGAGGAAGGGTGAGCTTCCCAAATCTTACATCCATATCTTTCTGACAACGACCGACAATGGATCCGATCAACTGGCTTGTCGAAGCCATCTGAACTTGGAGTTTTCCAGCAATCCGGGCTTGGATTCACAAATATTTTTGGGTCTGTCCTGTATGAAGCACCAATACCATCTCATAGCAAAATCTCACCTTCAGCTTTGTGATGTCTACGCTCGGAAATTGAGACGTGCGTGGAAATATTTCAGCGCCCTGGCGACACTTTGTCATGTTTGGCGCGGCCATTTGTCAAAGATTCATGCCATATGGTATCAGCAACATCAACACGATGCTGACTTCCTCAAACAAGTAGCGACGAACAAGATGCCTCCTTTGGCAGTGGCTGGTAGGTGGGCTAGTGTTGATGGTGCCTCAGCTGAATCCGCGGGTGCTAAATATCAAAGCAAATGGTGACAACATCGACAACATCATGACCACATGATGTAAGTGGCCGTATGGTGTTGTTTTTGATGGTTGATTTGTTGAATGGTCTAATGGTCTTGCTAAAAGACACAAACTCGTTGGACATTGGACTCACAGGCCATATGGGTAACTGTCGGCATGTTCAAAGCAACTTCATGTAGAACTTCTCAGCTGCAACCATCATATGTTGCAGTATGTTGGGCCATGCATGGCGTCACTTTAGAGTAGAGAACATACATACAAGGGATGGATGATGCATAATGGTTCCCTTTTGGACTACCTTTGAGACCTTGAGTTTCTGGCCTTTGTTGGATGCGTATATTATTTGAAGAAATCATAAGATATATTTATGCATCGGGTCACTGACAATGTGTTGATGTTTTGCTTCAGCTGTTTCCGCATGCCGTCAAGGTGTTGAAGACTTCTTTCTGGCCACAGGGGCAGGGAACATTGCGAAGTTGTTTGCTGATACTTTTGGAGAAGCACCGATGACTGTAACAACCAAACGCAAAGATGGCGATGGTACTGGCGAAACCAGTGGCGATGTGCTCGATGAACTAGCACTTGATGACTCGACTTACTACAAACAAAAAATCACCAAATGGGTGAAGAATGCGCTGCATACTGTTGGTGACTCAAGCTTTTGGTTCATGTTATTTGTGGCTCACAAAACCAGGAATCCTCTACTTCATTTCTACCGGATCCTTTGTGTGAACTTCAAAGGTGTGACAGATTCTGGTCGCATGCCAGTGGTCGAGCTTGTTTCCTATCGGATAGACACCATTCGGCAAGAGTATGATGTCATCCTGCAAAGATTTCATGAATGGACAAAGCAAGCTAAATCGTTTGCTAAAACAAATTCTGAATCTCTATGCTTTGACAGTGGTGCTGCTGCGAGTGGGAGCGAAGACATCACTGACGCATCTCTGTTTGGACTGGCGGCTGCGCTTCTTCTTCACAACGCGGCTGCATTTGATCGACGCGTAGCACGCCTGTTCAACAGGTACCTTGGTTGTGATTGGGCTAGCAAGGCATGTGACATGTGTTCATATGTGTGATGTGTGCGATAATGACGCATGACATATGACACATGATCAATGAGCATAGGCGCGCTATCTTGTTCGGGGTTTCAACTTACTTACAACTCAAGGTGCTGTCATGGTCGTAGCTGTATATAGTCGTCTATAGTCGGTATTAGACGCCTTTTTGTTGTTAGTTGTTGCTGCTGCTGTTGTTGTTGCTTGTTGGCTTTGACCACAATGTCAAGATGAAAAGATTTCATGTTTGAAACAGAATAGGTTTGGGTTTCCCTGTGTCTCCACTCATCAAGTGGTTCCGATGTGTTAGCTAGTGTCAGTGTCAGCGTCTAAGGTGGCCATGGCGTCTATTTCGCCTACTGCATGGCAATCTCCAAGTTGCAGATGTTACGCGGAGGAACATTGCCACCCAGCTCATGAACAGCCAGCCTGACCAACTTGAACATACCACTTCGAAGATTAGAACATTGTGCATGTGGGACCTCAAATATGTTGCTCAGACTGGCATGTTGCGTGCAGGGTCCCGTCTTCATGGAATCCTTTCGATGATTGGGATGCATCTCAAGTTAGATGCGGGTGAGCTTGAATCTCTGAACTCCCAAATCAAGTCAACAGTAGGGCAAGCTACTACAGCAATGTCGCTTGAACTGCTGTCAAGTCGCGTCACTGTGCGCAAGAGTCTGACCATGGATGTGCACGGGCGGCCAACCTTCAGGAATTTGAAACAACTCGCTGAGACAATTGCATCCCGGTCTACACTTTATCAGGGGTCTGAATCAAGTCTTCTTGCTGATAGTGACCGATGGGTTCCACCATCAGCTGTTCACATTTCCACATGCAGTCCCCAACGCTATGACCCAAGTATGCGACTGACAGTGTCCGAACAGTGGGGGTTGAAGTACAACAAGTTGCTTATGAAAGCCCTTCGCCATCATCAAAAGGAAAACCTACCAGCGTTAGCACTGGGAGTGTGTTTCCACTATGCGAGTCATGAAGTTATGTACATAGTTGCAGAATTGTCTGGTAGAACATGTCAAGTTCAGATGATGGATCCAATGAACGTTACAGCACGGACATCGGCCGGTATACCAAAGGACAACATGAGTGGAACATGCGAACAGCTTGTCAATATGCGTGTGGGTGTGGATGGTGTGGATGGCATAGTGGTTGAAAACCAGCCAGAAGAACTTTCAATTCGACAGCAGCTGTGGCAACTTCCTACAAACTTGAGCTTTTCCGCGTTGGTGTCGGTCTTGGGACAACAGCATGACGACGTTGTTGAAAAGAACAAGTGTGTGCATATGTTTGTTGCCGATCTTGCAATTTGCACTTCGCAAGAGACACTGCAATCGAACCGGGTGCGATACAAAGTTAGCAGGGCCTTCTACATTGCACAACTTGTGAAACGGAAAGCATACACCAAGAGAGAGAAGAAACCACACACCGATGATGCAAACATGTCTTCCGATGATAATGAAAGTGGTTTCAGTGAAGAGAATGATGATATTTTTGATGATGAGGAACAAATTGATGATGAAGAACATGAAAACATTGAACGAGAAATCAATGGCGAAGATCTTGAAGCCTTTGATGACATGATGGAGGAATTGAAGGACGATGAACTTGGCCGAGATTTGCTTGATTTAGATGAAATAAACAGCAATTTCGTCGCTGCCGCCAGAAGCAAACAGGAAGAACAATTGTTTGTTGATCCAGACGAAGTGTCTGCAAACGGTCCCGACAGTCTTGGTGATCAGGCTGAGTTGGAACGATCGTTTGAAGACGAGTTGGGGGAAACATTGCTTCAAAGTTTTTGCAATCAGCGTCATGAGAGAGTACCAGCAGAACGACCACATCCTGTCTCAACTCTGTCTGAAGATCGGGTGTTAGCTGCGTTGGATCAGTGGAGCCGCCAAATGAGTAGATTTTGTGAGGCGTGTCAGCTTATGGTTCAAGGTCTTGATTCATTTGAGCCAAGCAATCCTGACGGGTGTCTCAGTCGGGATGTTTCTTTGTTGGTGCATGAGACTGACACATGTGACAATGTATCTTTGGTGACTTGGGTGAAACCATACAAGGCCCTATCAGGAAGGGTAGTGTCTGTTGATGATACTGCAAGCTTGATTTATCCTTCACACTTCCTGCCGAAGCGGTCCTTCCACAACAGCATCATGGTGCTACCGCATTGTGGTGTTCGGATCAAGAAGCAAGAACGAGATGTTGTACCAGATATATATCTGTATCTGCAGAAATTGTTCAGCATTGGTTTGGCAACACTGGCATGCTCTGCTCTTGGTTCGGACAACAGAGAGTTGGCAAACTGTGTTTACGATGATGCATCTGGGTGTTCTGTATGTGTTGCTTGCGGGCATGGTGAGACTCACGGTTTGATGCGTCAATGTGCAGCATGTTTACAATGGTGGCACTGCCAATGCAGTGATAAGTCAGCTTCCTTTGTTGCAAGCTACGTTGCAACACGTGAAGTGGCAATGCTCAAGGACTATGATGTTTGTGCGAATGATCTTCCATTCCTTCTCCTGTCTGTGACCTAGTTGATGGAACTGACTTGAAAGAGGTCATGAGGTTGGGTTAGGTTCAATACGCAGTTCACACAACTAGGTAAGGCAACTCATCACTCACAAACGAGATTTGCAAAACCCATGAAAGGCGCATAGCAGTTCAGAGCTATTTGTCACTGAAACTGGGAACAACAAACAAACCGTAAGGCAGCAACATTAATGTAGGGGATGTGATATGAGTTACCTTGCCTCGACTTCTCACACTGCCACACTGCTGAGGCAGCAGGATAGCGACACAGCCACCATTTTCACCGAGATGTTTCCACCTTCAGTGCCAGCGCATACTTCAATTCTTCGGATGGCCCGTGCAAAAGATCTACTACCCTTGCAGCTTGGTATGAATGCATAATGCATGACATGACTGCAAAGTGCAACTTTCGCGATTACAGCTAGAAACGAGTCGAGTGTGATAATGGCAAATGGTAAGCAAGATACGGTGTTGTCGGGCTACATGATAGCAATCAATCATGGATTGCAACATCCAAGGGTTGAAAAGAATATTTATCAACAACATGTCTCGATGGTTATGATTAAATTGTAAACTACATGTGAAACATGAGCATATAAAAAATATGTGACACTGGTGATGTGGGTCGTGAGTTTACATTTGTAAAACATTGTTCTTCTTCTTCGGTACTCCTGGTATTCCGGAATTCTTCTACTTTTTCATTCATCATCACATTGATCTTTCAAAGAATGGCTAACCATGTTGTTGATTTATTTTATTTGGTGTGAGTCAAATGACATGTACGTATACTGAGGGACGATATCAGCAATCGAGTTCGGCAAGCCAGATTCTCCGCTCTTTGCAAAGCATGCACCTTTGCAGTGACTCAAGGCCAGGTCGCTGCATAACAAGCTGACACAGTTGATTTGAAAACACACTTGTTGTGTCAAGTTGACAAGTTCAAAGTAATTTGATTTAGTACTTGGTGAACTAGATGATGGGTTCGTGGGTAGTTGTTTTAGGTTAATGTTGTCAGTCCGGGCTGTTGACACTGATCGCTTGTGCTAGCCAAAACAATCATTGACAGATTGTTATGTGTTCCATGGTCGTAAGTTGTATGTATGTATGGTATGTGTTTCAGATCGATGTCAGGTGTGGCTTCTTCGTCCTCAAGCTCATCGGCGCCTTAAATGGCTTTTGTATAGGACCAGGACCAGGGGGAGTTCATATTCTATGTTACGTTAACACACTTTGGTTCTTGAAAGACTTGCATGGTGGTCACAAACCAAGGTCACAGCCATAGTTGTCATCAGTTGTCAAGTTGTCGCCGCTTGTCATCGTTGTCAGCGTTGACCGTTTGTTTTCTTATCGTAATCTCTACTCCAAACACTACTATGCTGATGTTAGTTAGGGTCAGTAGCTGAATCCACCGTGGAATACACCCTCCACTCCACATGACTTCGCATGCAACCAGCGAGAGGAATTAGCGGAACCTACGCTGAAATCGCTGCTGCCAATCACAAAGTCTATGTCTCAGCCTGTCTCAGCAAGACGTTGTCGGTCAAGTCAATCAAACAGCTGAATGCTGTTGATGTTAGATGTGCTACTGTTGTTACAGTCAGTTACTGTTATTCAAAATTTCACCTCTAGAACGATATGGCGGGGATGGAGAGAACGGCTGATCACTGAATTCAGAATGTCAGAATGTGTGTTCTTTTCTTTTTTGGCTCAATCATTGCCATGCTGGGCATCAAAGATGCACAGTGAGTTAACACCACATCACAACACCTGATCTTGGGTGTCCCTTTGGTGTCTTGCCGTGTGAATCTAAATCTAATACGACGGTGTCTTTGCTGCGCTATGGAACAATCAGCGGCATGGTCATATGCATTGCGATCAACACCACCTGGATACAGTTTCGATTTAGAATCTGGGTCGTTCACTAGAGTGGTCTCGGACGACAATGCTGAGTATGTTCTTTCTGATCCAAATCAATTTCAGGGGCATGGAGCCGTTGGATCTGCAATTGATTGTTCCAGCACAGTGTCATTTGATCCAAGTGACGTGGTGCCTTCTCAGTCCGTGCAATCGCCCAGCCAAACATCAGAGACTGAGCTGTCGTTGGGGAACCAGCAGTTTCTGTCAAGTCCTGGGTTGGACACTGACCGTGACACATGGAATACGACATGTCCCATTGTGATGATGCTGCTAGCTGATCGTACAGAGGGGCCACGGGTCTCCGAGTTTGATGAACTGAATGAGCTAGTCAATTGGAGACCAGGTGTGCCCGGTGTGCCTATGGATGGTGATGTCGATGCTACTGCAGTTGCTATGCATACAGGAAATGCAACTACAACCCTTGCCTTTTCGCATGATGATGGTCATGATGGTGGATGTGGTAAGTATGAATCCAAAGTGGGTGAGGGAGATGTAGCAGCTGGCCCTGCACCCTTTGATGGTTTGTCTTCGCAAGGTGGTGAATCTGCTATCGACCC